TTATTATCATCGATGATTAAAACGGCGATAATCGAGGGAATTAAAAGGGGGGGGAAGAGATAATTAAACGTTTAATAATTGAAAGTTTCGAGAATGTTTCGAACGTTTCGATTGTTTAATTAAATATAACCATTTAAATAATTCGATGATCGAGTGTTTTTTAACAATTTCACATCTCTCTTATTTTTTTATAATCGAATTCTAAAACTTATCATTAATTTCAGAATTATGTAATGCCTTTGTGTAAGCTACCTATTATGCAAGAATAACGTCACTCCGCAAAAGAGTGTCTTTCAATCGTGCTATCTGCTCGAGTATCGGTGATAAAATTTCCGGTAAAAAAAATTAGATTACATCTCTGGAAAGGTTGTAATCTGTGTTATTACAGAAATAGAAATCGGTCTAAAAATTCATATGAATTCAGGAAGGAGAGATCGAATCGTTAAATTTGATTAATTTTAAGTAGCAATCGACTGTCTCTGGTAAAATTAATATTAATTTTACCATGGAATAATTTTGTTTAATAATACTTCCATTGAAGGTATAACTCGATAAATGCGCGATGAACTGTACTCCCACGGGCTTAACGATGTTAACAAGCCTCGATTCACTTTGGCCTTCTACGCGACACAAGTTAAAGACAATCGCATCGTGGTTTCCGGAACCCATCGATTATTTTCGCGGTAATTCAACATTAAATTGGCAAATCTTCTGAATGGTCACGTAAATTGGAATTTCCAATTTTTTATATCTCTTTTATTATCCTCTCAGTTCCGACAAATAAAAGTAATTTTAATATTTTGAAGAAAATTTTAATTTCAAATTGAGAAACGAAGAGGTATAATTTTTTTTCTTTTTTTTTTAAGAAATTAATTTTAAAATTTTGTAACAATATATATATTTTTAATAATCTCGAGAAAAAGTTTTAACGTAATAATTGAATGAAATAAGAATAAAACGATGATATCTCTTGTGATTTTATTCAACGATAAAAAGAAATACCAGTGAATCGAAATTTATAGAACGATAACAAGATTGAATTTCCCGCCTGGTCAATAAAATAACACGCTCGAGGAACAATCGTTTGCAATCGTAACCTAGGCTACTTTCTAGTGAAACACGGATATCGATAATTCTATCCTCGATTCTTGCTGACACACGCCTCGAACGGAAGAATGCGGCGCTTCTTGTTACGCTAATGAAACTCGACCGGAAATTCTATAATTTTCCTCGTTGATGTTCAAATTTTCTTGAAAATTTAAACATCTTTTTCTAGTACCCCAATTTTTCTTGAAAAAATTTTGAAAAAGATCTAAATCGATTTTACAATTTGAAAATATTATTTTTCCATAAAAATATATATATATTATTTTTATTATTATATTACATTATTATACGCTCGTATACACGAATACATAGAATGAAATGAATGAAAAAAAAAAAAAAAATGTTCATAATCTCCACTGTTTATACAACGATTTTAAACAGAATGTAATAATCATTCGAAGGATTAATGAATACCTTTAAAATAAATCACATTGCGTATCCCTGTTTCGCAAAATCCACAATCCACCAAAGCAATATTCGTTCCATCGATCGTTCAACGAAATCCAACCCTAATCATAAAACCTAAAGCCAATGGTCGAAACAGCTTCATAAAACTTTCACACCTCTTCTCATATCCATCTAACGCGCCATTATGAATCTTTCGTTGATCGGCCCCAACCTAGCCGGGTATCATCGTTACTCGATTTTATTCGCAGTTTCTCCTAACAATCTCGTAAAACATCAGGCAAATACAAGTAGCAATAAAATCCCGGATATATATGTTTAACATAACGATAACCAATCAACGATCGTTCCACGAAGATTGCAGCTGTTTAAGGAAGAAAATTATTTCGCCTCCTGTCACTCTGTTCACGCTCCCTTCTTCTTCTTTCGCTACCAGCGATGCTGCCACCACACGCAAAATACAACAACCATTCTTCTCGCGAGCGTTTACATGAGCTCCTCAAAATGCTGGTAACTTTGTGTACGATGCCATTTCGTTTTTCCTCCTCCTCCTCCTCCTTCCTTCTGGGTCGATTTCAGGGGAAAGACGAAAGAATAAATTTGAGTTTGGTGTTTAATTGATTTTGGTTTTATTTTCTTATAGATTTTTAAAGTTGGAATGGATGTATAAATTTGGCAATGTTTTTCTAGGGGAAAAATTAGAAAATTCCTAGAGAGGAAATAAAATTTGTGATAGCACTTTTTTTTTTAAAAATTATTGTTTTTCCTTTCTTATTTTCCATAAGGTAATGAAATTTATATATTCTTGTTCGAGTGTGTGCGGGATAGCATTAATCTCTCTCATCGTTCAAAATGTTTTCGTAATCTCGTAGTAATATTCGTAAAAAAGAATACTTCGATCTCTAATCCAGTTGAACATCTGGAATTTAATGGATTTTACAACACGAGATTCTTATTTAAAAACGGATTGAAATGTGAAATGAAAAAAAGGATAGGATATAGTTATGTCTTAAATGGAGCAAACATAAGCTAAAGTATGATTGACTTATTCAACCTATAACCTCAATATCATCGCTATAAAACATCTCAATATGAACCGCATAAATCAATGAAGAATATTCCTATTTGGTCGAGCAGTTAAATTCCTTCGTGGTAAGTAATGAAAATAACATTAAAAAACTTATTATTATTTCTATATAAAATTTTAATTTAATCGTAATTTTTATTACAATGTATAACCTATTTATATCATCTTCCTATAATAATTTGTCTAAAGAAATTATTACGAAAAAAATTCAAGAATTAAATTATCAGCATTTTATTTTTTCATAACATATATAGAAACATTTATAAAATTCCACTTCACTTTTCTTTTTTTACGATTCTTTTCGAAAAATTCTAATACAGTTTCACGGAAATTTAACCTAACTCAATCAATTTGTTCCAACAAGAAAAATAAATAAATCTCAGACTAGGAAATTTTTAATCAGAAACAAAATTTACTATTTCACAATTTCGTTCAACGACGTGCCAGTTTCACGATCGCTAAATTCAACATCCTTCTTCTCGCGTTAAAAAGTCAACAATTCGTTCGTTCGTTCATCGTAAGAGCGAACCACTTGCAAATCCAAATCCAATCAGCCACCTCCTTCGAACTCGACACCTATATTCCCGAGGCGAATCGAAATTCTCTAGGAAACTCCCCACGAATCGAGCGGTATTCATGGAAACTCGAGCACGGCCGAGGAATCGAGTTTCGATTCCATCGACGAAATCGTGTAACGTCCAACGTGTTATCGATCGCGGCAACGTTGGCCGCGTTGTGACACGAATAAACTATCGCCGCCGTTTCCAGCGAATCCGCGACTTTCTAGGACAGCGATGTCTGGCGTGCCGTTCTTATAAACTGCCAGAGTCAAAACGAAACGCATTATGAATCGTCGCCGTTTAATCCTCTTTAATTCAAATATTGGAACGCGATAGCGGGAAGAATGTTAATGTGGTTGAAAAATTATAAATATGGTAAATTAGTAAATTAATGTATCTAATGCGATAGATAGAGAATATGTATGTTAGTTAGTTTTCGATGAATAATATTTTATATTCGAAATTTATTGGTACGTGTAATCGAGGATTATATTATCGTAAAATTTTATTAACGATAATATATATATATATATGTATATATATATATACATTAAAAATTATTACTAGGCGATTTAGTTATTTATTTTTTTTTTTATAGTAAGTCAAGGACTATGAGAAAATTAGATATTATTATATAGATCCATTTTCAATAATTTCTTTGCAAATTTTTTTCAATAAAATATTTTGAGCTTATTAATTATGTAATATAC